TCTTTCAAATCAGAGTTCTGATGAAAGTTATAGCTCAAAATAATGACTTAAAGATCAGAAAACTCCTCCCATTTTGGTTCACCGAGTTATTCACACAATGCTGCTAAAAATTTTGTTCATTTGGTGCTTGCAGCTCACAAATTGAATTCGGTAACTGTCGAATTTGATCCCTAAATCACTACTCTCTCTTTATTTGTTGGTGACAAAGGGAATAATCTCCCAACTGATGCCATTTCTCAACTCATTGGCAGATCTATAGAATCATTTCACCAAGTTAGAAAAATAGCAAATTATCCCATGAGCTCGCTCTCTCAGTCCATTATTTGATCAAGTGAGCTGTTGTTCAAATGGACAAGACTGCAAGCTCAAGTGAGAATAAAAGAATTCACATATTAATCTTGGAAAAATTATCCTAGTTGGTAATGCTGAGTTTGGTGCAGTAACTTGAAGTTGAATCACAAGTAATGTGAATTTATGTGACTCTGAGGCATGTAGAATCACTTTTCTTCAGTACTAGTAACCAAAATGTTTGAATTTATGCTGTTAGCAATATTGAATAAATTTTATAAGACAACTCTGAAAGATACTATCAATGAGTGTAAACTCAAACTCAATAGTAATGGGTTTTGAATAGGGGTAATTATTCAGATTAATAATTTAAATTTAATTTGTGCCACACGTGCCAAAATTTTATCTTTATGGTCAATTTTAGTTTCAAAGTTCAAACATAAAAGTATGCCACCCCTTTATTCACTTTAAGACGGCTAAATACCCTTTTTTGCAAAAAGCATCAATCGGCAAGCACTGAAAAGGTCAACAATCCAAAATGCAAGAGAGGTAAATCATAAAAGGTCAACAATCCTTAGGCTCATTTTCTCCGACTGTTCTGAATTTATCTTTGAATTCTAAAATTTAACGGATTCGACTTGGCTGTTTGTAAAAATATTGAGCTTGAACTATTGAAACTAAAATGCAATCTTGTCTAACTCGATCTAAACATGTGCAAAGTATCCTCAATCAACATCCGTTGTCTAAATGAAGTTCAGGTATCCGTGCACTTGTTCCGCATATGACATCGAGACTTAAATTAAAACAAAAATTATAACTCGATGGACTTGTTTTGAACACGAAATTTGCCAACACAAAATTATATATCTCATAAAAACCTACTCAATACCAAAAATCAAAGGAATCGGAATCTATTTATACGATGAACAAAAATTTCTAAATATTCAACATGCTTCTTGTAGAACAGAAAATGCGCTTTCAAAAGTTCTGAAATTTGGTCAAAGAAGTTACTTATGCCCGCAAAGCCCACAAGTAATGTGAATTTATGTGATTCTGAGGCATGTAGAATCACTTTTCTTAAGTACTAGTAAACAAAATATTTGAATTTATGCTGTTAGCAATATTGAATAAATTTTAGAAGACAACTCTGAATGATACTATCAATGAGTGTAAACTCAAACACAGGTGTAATTATTCAGATTAATAATTTAAATTTAATTAGTGCCACACAATTTTATTTTTTTGGTCAATTTTAGTTTCAAAGTTTAAATATAAAAATATGTCACCCTTTAATCACTTTAAGAAAGTTAAATACCCTTTTATTGCAAAAAGCATCAATCAGCAAGCACCCAAAAGGTCAACAATCCAAAATGCAAGAGAGATAAAAGGTCAACAATCCTTAGGCTCATTTTCTTCGACTGAACTCTGAATTTATCTCTGAATTCTGAAGTGTAACCGATTCGACTTGGTTGTTTGTAAAAACATTGATCTTGAACTATAGAAAACTAAAATGCAATCTTGTCTCTATACATGTGCAAAGTATCCTCAATCCACATCCCTTGTTTAAATGAATTTCAGGTATCCGTGCACTTGTTCCGCATCCAACATCGAGACTTAAATTAAAACAAAAATTATAACTCGATGGACTTGTTTTGAACACGAAATTTGTCAACACAAAATTACATATCTCATAAAAACCTACTAAATACCAAAAATCAAAGGAATCAGAATCTATTTAGACGATGAACAAAAATTTCTAAATATTCAACAAGCTTCTTGTAGAACAGAAAAGGTGCTTTCAAGGTCCTGAAATTTGGTCGAAAAAGCTACTTATGCCAAGAGCCAATATTATGCATTGGCTCATATTCAATCGGAAAATGGGTCTTATCAATTTGAGACAGTGCAAACATATGTCACCCATCCATTTAGCCCTCTGGTAATCTACACCGTCTTCATAATTACGGGCAATCCATTATGCATCACATCTTGTGTAACGGGTGGGTGCTTGCTCATTTACCCAAAAACTCAAGTTGTTGGGTAGTTCTGCATACCCACCCATTTATACCCAATCACTTTCCCATCCAGATTCGACAATTACAACACAGATGCACACAAGGCTTGAATTCTGCAGCAAACCCTAAATATTTAGGTTTGGTATACTTTTCTTCAATGCAGCTTCACAACAGATCTTACATTAACTCCTATAGGCTTTGCTCACAAATATATACCTGCTTAGATGATGAACACAAGAAGGACAGCATGGTATACAAGTGAAAGAGTACAACAGCCTCACAAATTGCAACACACCCTAATTGTTGAGGTTAGAGATAACAAACTTTAATGCAGCTTCAAAACAGGGTCAATCTTGATCTCCACAAACTTAAAATAACATATTACACTTGCTCTACTGATATACTTCACAATGCATAGCAATACAAGAACAAACTCAGTAATTTATGACAATGTCAGCTTAGATTTCTGCATAAATCATTCTTGACTTTGTCTCAGGTATTATTAGCAATACAAGAACAAACAGCCTTGAATACAAGTAAGTACGTAATTAGCAGCCACAGTTTAGTGCAGCCAATGATACATGGTGCTCTATATCAACCAATTAACCTTGCACAGATGTGCATCCAAGAGGAATAAGCAAGGTAGAATAATTGTTAGCTCAGAAGCAGTGATCAAGAGCACACAACAGGGTTTTTACTGCAAAACTGAAATATCACTGGTTTGAAGGGCAAATATGGAATTTCGTGACTGTTCAGACTTGAACCTTGTCCTCTCCGTCTTGAAATGACATAATACACATGCTTAGATGATGATTACAGTGAATTAAGCATGATATAACAATGACGGTACTCTTAGACCTTATCTCAGCTTTAAAACCCTCAAAACCCTAGCTGCCAAGTGATGAACAAAGACCATGTGCAGAAATAATTGTTTCTCTGTTCAGTCCTCAATTTATGTGGCCTCAAACGAACATATTAAACATGCTCAAAAGATAAACAAGGAATTCACAGCATGCTTTAACAATTTAAGCTCAGATCAGTAGCAATTTCTACACAAGTTACACAAGTACTAAGGTCTGAGATGTAGAATTCTGCTGCAGCAAGAGTACAAGATAGAACCTGGTTTCTGCAGTCCTAACTTGTCAAAATGAATGTGTCTCAGCCTTGAAGAACTCCTGTGAATGTCTCTCTTCAATGTTGTGTCTCTGCTCCAGTTTTATGCACCAGAAAATTTACATTAATGCTGCTCTGTTGCATCAGTGAGTTTCTCTCTTTCAAATCAGAGTTCTGAATTGTAGCTCAAAATAATGACTTAAACATCAGAAAACTCCTCCCACTTTGGTTCACCAAGTTATTCACACAATATAGCTAAAAATTTTGTTCATTTGGTAATTGAATTCAGTAACTGCCGAATTTGATCCCTAAATCACTACTCTCTCGCTCTCTTTTGTTTTCTCCTAGGGGAGCTTTGTCTATATCCTCTACTTTATTTGTTGGTGACATAGGAAATAATCTCCCAACTGATGCCATTTCTCAACTCAGTGGCAGATCTATAGAATCGTTTCACCAAGTCAAAAAATTAGCAAATTATCCAATGAGCTCGCGCTCTCAATCCATTATTTGATCAAGTGAGCTTTTGTTCAAATGGATAAGACTGCAAGCTCAAATGAAAAAGAATTCACATATTAATTTTGAATAAATTATCCTAGTTGGTAATGTTGAGGTTGGTGAAGTAACTTGAAGTAGAATCAAAAATAATGTGAATTTATGTGACTCTGAGACATGTAGAATCACTTTTCTTAAGCACTAGTAAACAAAATGTTTGAATTTATGCTGTTAGCAATATTTAATAAATTTTATTAGACAACTCTGAATAATACTATCAATGAGTGTAAACTCAAACTCAATAGTAATGAGATTTGAATAGGGGTAATTATTCAGATTAATAATTTAAATTTAATTAGTGCCACACGTGACAAAATTTTATTTTTTTGGGTCAATTTTATTTTCAAATTTTAAATATAGAAGTATGTCACCCCTTTATTCACTTTAAGAAAGTTAAATACCCTTTTATTGCTAAAAAAAAAAATCAATCAGCAAGCACCCAAAAGGTCAACAATCCAAGATGCAAGAGAGATAAAAGGTCAACAATCCTTGGGCTCATTTTCTCCAACTGAACTCCGAATTTATCTCTGAATTCTGAAGTGGAATCGATTCGACTTTGTTGTTTGTGAACACATTGATCTTGACCTATTGAAAACTAAAATGCAATTTTGTCCAACTCGATCTATACATGTGCAAAGTATCCTCAATCAATATCTCTCATCTAAATGTAGTTCAAGTATCCGTGCACTTGTTTCGCATCCGATATCGAGACTTAAATTAAAACGAAAATTAGAACTTGATACACCTGTTTTGAACACAAAATTACATCTTCCATAAAAACCTACTATAATACCAAAAATCAAAGGAACCGGAAGCTATTTAGACAAGGAAGAAAAATTTCTAAATATTCAATATTATTCATTGGCTCTTATTTAATGTGTTGTACGTTTCTACATATTCATATCCAACTTGTGGACACCTACAAACAGCAAATCTCACTTGCTTGCATTAAAGACAATTTGAAGCAAATAACTGAAATCTTAAATCAAATGTAGGAAGCATGAAGCAAGCCAGTATCAACAAATAAACCAACAATGTCTCCAAAAAAATAAATACGATTAAATATAAAAAAATCAAAGAAGATTTCAAAATTCAAGTCAGGATCAATTTACAAAGCCCCTCCTTTCTTCTCTTACAATTATTTTACACCTTGATGAACTTCAACGCCTGCAGTACAAGACGTCCCATGGCCTTATTGCCATTGTTTTAATTGTGTTAACAGTATAACGGTACAGCTCCGATTCCATTACTCACGCTTGGTGGGTGTATCAGCCGTCAGTAGGAAAACTTTGGGATAAACATAACACAATATATATATATCTTCCATATTCAGAGAATGCCAATTTTATAAATTAATGCAAGGGAGAGGAAAGAGGATTCCTTTCATTTCATATACAATCAGTATCCTCAACTTATTAAGTTGGGACAACCTCCGGGTCAAGAGGCGATGACCCGTCATTTTCTGTACTGTCACCCTCCACGATCGGTCCACTCTTCTCATCGTGTTCCTGGAACCCTAGCTTAAATCTGTCATAATTTGTCATTTCACTTGGTTTGAATGGCCGTTCACCCAGAACTCGGAGCAAGTCATCTTGGTGAAGTACTTCCTTTTCAAGCAACAACTCGGCAATCTGTGCCACTTGCTCTTTGTGTTCCTCTATCAGTTTGACTGTGTGTTCATATGCCTTGGCCACCCATTCTCGCACCTCAGTATCGATTATTGCGCCAGTCTTGCTGCTATATGGCTTGGTCATCTCAAATGAATCATCCCTTTGAGGGAAAGAGAGGAGCCCCACTTTCTCACTAAAACCATAGACAGCAACTTGGGCATATGTCATTTTTGTAACTTTCTCCAAGTCATTTTGGGCGCCAGTTGAAATTTTTCCAATCAAAACCTACATATACCCCAAGAAAATCCCAATCACCATCATAAGCAATAGGTGTGAATGAATGTAGTGTTGTTTTTTTTCCCCTTTCATTTTCATCTACTTAACAAAAAAAATAAAAGAAAGAAGAGAAGGCTGGTGAAACAATGTAGTTACCTGTTCAGCTGCTCGACCACCAAGTGTCATACATGTCATATCGAAAAGTTGCTCCTTGGTCATGAGAAGGTTCTCGTTAGGGACATACTGGGCAAACCCAAGTGCTGCCGTACCACGAGGAACAATAGTCACTTTCAACAACGGTTCTGCATGTTCCAAAAACCAGCCAGCAACAGCATGACCTGATTCATGGTACGCTACGGTTCGGCGTTCAAGTTTACTGATAACCTATTTGACAAACAGGAATATTAGGTAATTTCTATAAGTAACTTGAAAATGAAAAGAAAGGAGGAAGTAACATATGTCCCACTCTCTATAACTAATGCTTTGTGATTATACTTCAAAATATTTCTTAGAATGCTGTCAAATCAAAACAAGACATTGGGCAGGACCATGACATGACAGTCGGAGTGTATAGGAGAAAGGTTATCTGTAATTTTTTTTGTAAAGCTATTACAGGTAATCAAACGAGACAGATGTCATATAAAAAATGTTGAGATAACATATTTTCAGGGTGCCAAAAAGAAAAGACCAGCAAGAAGAAACATATAGCTAGTTTATGTCAGGAGAACTTCTATCAAAATGTGAGGACCATTGATGGAGGTGATGGTAGTGGTGGTGGTATGTCACATTCTGAAGGACCCAAATGAAGCAATCTATTAATGTGAGTGGTCAAGTGTCTGACATGGAGGAAGAGAAACCAAGCATTCTATTGCAGAGATAGAAGGCTGCGCTTCTAATGATCATGCAATTAATACCAATAAAGTTATAGGCATATGAAGACGGCCATAAGAAGAACAGCAGCATATAGAGTGAGAAAAAGCAGAACATGACATGCAACAAATCACCAGGGAAGGACTTACCTTGTTCTTTTTCTCTAGACCACCAATGATCCTATCTATAGCTGCCTCAAAATGATCCAGTGTGACTTGTTTTTCCTCTTTCCTTGCAGCTATTAAAGCAGCTTCATTACAAACATTAGCAATATCTGCTCCAGCAAATCCTGGAGTGAGGGCTGCTAGTCTCTGAGAGAAATATGAGGGCTCATTATCAAGTTTGATCTTCTTCAAATAGACCTGAAATATCTGCTCACGGCCTTTGATATCAGGTTTATCAATGGAAATTTGTCTATCAAATCGACCAGGCCGCAACAGAGCTTTGTCTAAAATATCAGGCCTATTAGTGCCAGCAAGAACAACTACTCCAGCAGTGGTTCCAAATCCATCCATCTCTACAAGCAACTGGTTTAGAGTACTTTCCCGTTCATCATTGGAACCTGAGAAACCACCCCGTCCCCTTGCTCGACCAATCGCATCAATCTCATCAATAAATATTATACTAGGTGCACACTGCCTTGCTTCTTGAAACAAGTTTCTCACCCTAGACGGTCCAACACCAACAAACATCTCCATGAAATCTGAACCGGATATGGAAAGAAAAGGCACACCAGATTCCCCTGCAGTTGCTTTTGCCAGGAGAGTTTTACCTGTGCCTGGAGGACCTACCAAAAGAGCGCCTTTTGGAATTTTTGCCCCCAAGTCCTCATATTTTTTGGGGTTCTTAAGGAAGTGCACAAACTCCATGATTTCCTGCTTTGCTTCATCACAGCCAGCAACATCTTTGAAAAAGACCTGGAGAAACCAAAAAAAAAAAATTGGGGAAGAATGTTTTGAGTAAAGTTCTTCAGCAACATTAAAGTGTTTAAAGAATAGCTTCAATATTTTTCACAAGGACAACCAAAATTGATCAGAAGTAGGACGGCTAACCTTGTTCTTCGCATTCTTATCCACCTTTGTAATATGAGCTTTTCCTATGTTGAATATTCCACGGCCACCCTTTCCACCAGTACCTCCAACGCCTAGTCCACCTTGCATTCTACGGCCCATGTATAAAAGGGATCCCAAAAGCAAGAGTGTCGGTGCAAACCGCATCAGTTCTTGGTACCAAACCATTTCAGAAACATATGTAACAGGAACATAATCATGAGGATCTATCCCTAATGCTTCCTGGGCTTCCTCCAGCTTCTCCTCAAAAGATTCAACACTTCCGATATTGAAAGAGTACTTATATTGGCTAGTGTTCCCTTTTGCAGGATTAGCATTACCAGGTCCTTGAATAACATCATCATCGCTTGTTTGTTTGCGCGGTGAGTTTCTTACATATACTTTTGCAACTGATTTATTAGAAACAACAATATGATCCACTAAACCTGGTTCAAGAAGCTTGTTCTTGAACTCTTGGAAACTAATCTGCAAAAGAAATACATATTAAGTATAAAGCCAAAATCAGAAAACATAAGACAAAAAATAAATAAATAAAACCCGATAACGTTTAAATTGGAAAAAAACAAGAAATGGGGGAAAGAGGTGAATGATAAATGAAATCAATCCACCACAGAGATTTATCCAGAAATCAAATATTAGAAACGGGGATATTGAGCATATGAACCAGCACTGATGTCATCTCCTTTAGAGCTTCAGTCCGCATGACATGTAGGTAGCTGCCTTGTATCAACTTCCAAGGCTTTACCAAGTCCAGAAATCAATTAGGCGAAAGTTTATATCTTGTTATATATCAACAAAAGGCACCTTACTCAATATAGACTATTATTCTTTGATGGTCCCGCCAACGTGGAATGCTGAGGGAACAACTAGAGACAGACCTAACTTTTGGCATTATTCTTACACAAATTGACTATTGTAAAACGAACCCAAGTCCTCATCCATGTCAGTCTGAGCTTTTACGATTGCATCAAACAATATGTCCTATCCTTTATTCAGTACTCCCTCATTTCATATAAAACTTCCCTTTTTGGATGTCAAAAGATAAATGTCCCTTTTAAAAAGTCACTTTACTATTTTTCACAATGCCCCCAATTTACTATTTTTGAATAATTATATATTAACCTTAATTCCAAAAATGGTAGAAATCATTTCCAAACGAGATTTAAGGTAATATCAACATATTAAGGCCAAAATCACCAAAGAATATAAATTACAGTTCAAATATTATTACAGTAAAATAAGACATCATCCATTATATACTAACCATCAACAAACCAATCTAGTTCAAACATACTCTGCACAAAGTTTAAAAAGAAAATAGAGAAGAACGCACTAATTGACAGCCATAATTTTATCTATTCGTTAGTGTTCCTATGAATTAAACAATGTTTATCGGGTAACTTTTTATGAGGCAAAAGAATAAATTGATATTCTAATAACTTCATCTCAAAAACAAGAAGAGGAATCTCACAGCCATACATCAAGCTAATTGTGTAAAAGAACCTAGAACATGAGATTCAATATTATATCGTACTTAAATTCTCAGATCGATAAAAATACACATTTCAAATCAGCCGAAAAAGTAATTCTGATTAGGAAAGCCCCACTTATGCAACTAAACCAATCCTTAATACCCAGAGATATGCTTACCTGATGCTGTTCACGAGTACCAAAAGAAAATGTGGAGAGAAACAACCCAATAACTAATATAGGAGTGATTAAATTTTGAAATAGCTTCATGAAAGTTTCCTGGAAATTCCCATGGTCATCTGTTTTTGCATCTTCTGAACCTAGAAAAACAAGTTAATTAGAATTGGGAATATTTTCAAGTTGTACTCGGCATAAATTAAGCATATATTAAGCACAAATTTCTAATTGCAATTAAGAATCAAAATCAATTTTTAAATTTTCTTTTCATACATAACACAATAGGGCCAGTACAAGTTTTCGCAAGTTCTCAATATTAACACCTCATTAAGAAACCAAAAACATCATTTTTTAATAACTAAATCCAACATAAAACTTATTTTTTTCGATTCAATTTCCTTACTAGTCCTAACAACCATTGTATATTAGGTGTGCTCTCGTCAGTCATGTGTCCATTACTCTAGTTCTTCGTCGATAATTAATGGCTGCTTGTGGAGTATGAGAATAAGGTTAGGTTCACTTTGCCACTTCTGTTGTTTAATGCACATGTTCATATGAAGGGAACTGAAATGTGAAAACCTTAATAAAATCTCTTCTACACAAACTTTAGAACACCCAGTCAGTTTCACATTAATGAAATCAAAGCCCTCTCCCCCAAGAAAAACAAAATGAAAATGAAAAGCAAAAATGAAAATTCCAACAGCCACGTGTTCCTAAATTAAATAAAGTATAATCCAATTGAGCAAAATTTTCTTTATAATCCATTAAATTGATTAGTGGAGGTGAGTTTTTCACCTTTTGGAAACCAATATAACATAAACAAGAGACTCAAAAGCTTAATTTCATCTCTGATTTTCCAAGACATCCAGATGCACCCACCAGCAATGTAGACAAAAGAAATATAAATGCAAACAAAAATTGCGACTAATTCACCTTTTGACTCAGATTTCTGGCCATTGTCTTTCGGAATTTCCTTCTTAACCTTTGGATAGAAATTCTCATAATCTGCATGGTGAAGACAAAAATGTGTGTTAAAAATGGAGTGTGCAAAACAACATCCAAAAGAGTAGACAGATTCTGAACCAACAGGGAACCCTTACTCTTCTTCTTCGGAGCTTCACTAGAGAAAAACCTATATATTCTAGGGTTAGCAAGAATATAATTCAAGTCAGATACACGGGACTTGGAAGCAAAGTCTCTGTTCGCTCCTATCGAAGCTAAATATCCCCTAAAACTTTCCAACTTTCCATCGAATCGATTGAGATAATTATTTACATACGGAGCTCCAAGAATTGCTTCGTTCAAAAACGCCGATCTCCCAATACCACCAGTTAACACATTCTGCCACAAAAATCACAAAAATAGAAGTTCATAAGAAACAATTACAAAACCCTAGAAAACACGTAAATGTATACATATAAATATAAACACACACACATATATATATAAATATATTACTCTTGCACGAGACGATCGGGACAACGAACGCCCAATCTTCGAAAATATCATTGTTTGACCGATCTGAATCAGAAAATGATGAATGTGAAGCAATCTTCGGCTTACTGTTTCAGACTTTGAAGAACTAATCGAACGAAATACAATATCTGTGATACAGAGAATATATAATACAGTTTGAAACAAAGTTAGGGTTTTTTCAGTTGGATTGGAACTGATTTGGGGCTACGACGACTCAGCGAATGAAGAAAACATGCGAAGCTGAAGAGCAATGAAGATTACGACGAATATGGTAGTTTTGGGGGCTTATTGGATAGTATTTGTTTTTAAATCTGTCTTTTTCAATTTCTATTTTCTTTATCGTAATTATGTTACTTTTTGGGGTATAAAAATGTCCGCGTAGGCGGTCAAAGGAGGGTGAGTTGGGGTTGGGCTAATTGTAAATTAGTTGAACTTGGAAAACAAGAAATGCGCATCGGTCAGTTTCAGGCGTTGGCACATTGAATTGGAATGCCAAACTCACTTAAACAATGTGTTGACAAAAAAAAAAAAAAAAATCCTTAAACAATGTAACTTAAATATACTAATTGTTTTGAGTTGGTGTGCACACACGGTTTGATTCCATCTGGTTTGGGTTTGAATTATAACAAAAAATATAGTTCTATAATTTTTAGATATATATATATTATCAAAATTTTAAATTTTAAAACTTTCATTATATTTGATTCGTTTCAAATTTTAAAAATTTTGTGGGATTTAAGTAGTTTTGGTCTTAACTCAGAGATGAGTGTCTGAGTTCAAATGACATACGAGATTTCCACACCATTGTTTCTATTCGAAATTTGTAAATTATTAGTGTTTAAGGTGATTAGTGGGTGGATTGATTTTTTTGATGAATTTTTTTTTTTAATGAAAATAATTAATTATATGAATAAGAAAGTGAAGTTTTATGTCAAAAATGAAAGTCTTCCTTCTGGAATCACTGCTGTAATTGTAACTTATTAATAAAATAACAACCCATTTGGGAATGTGAAAAGAAATCTAAAAGTCATATATTTTGAAAATTTTAAACAAGACTAAATGTGAAAAGAATATGAAAGTCATGTATTGTGAAAAAATAAAATTAGACTTGGACAACAATGAATATTTTGGCAAATCGAAATTGGTTTTGGTTTTCGTTTATAGAAGTAGTAATCTGTAGACATCCCATGTTATTCTACCTTCTAAAAATTATAAGAAAATTATATATCTTTCATTCTACAAAGTTGCCAACACAAAAATATATATAAAGTGAATGAGGCAGCGATCCTTTCTACATGAACATTTTTGTTTCCGAACTGCATTCGAATTTTTGCCTTAACCATCGGAAAACTCTGGAAGATAGATACTACTACAAGTGTTATGTACCCATATTTTATTCGTATTGAATGTCAACACTTTTTGAATATTTGATTCTTAAACGTTTTTTTAATTTTAAAATAAAATTTTTAATTAATAACACGTATTCGATATTTTTCATATACTTTTTGAATATTTCAAAACACATTTTAAACAAGTTTTGAATATTAAAATGTAAGTTTTTCAATAATAATAATAATATAATTGTTAAGAAAAACTCAAAATATATTAATTGATAAATTAGGAATGCTGGTTTTATGTTTTGTGAAACCCCTATGTTGTATATAAATTTTGTATTAATATTCATAATATTTTAAAAAATTGAGTAAATATTATTATTTTTTGTATAAATAAAAATATAATTTTATAATTGTCTACTCATCTCTTATACATTTTTTTTTTAAATATGTTATAGTATCCTAAGTAACACAATCATTCACCACAGATACAATTCTCTCTTATGTACTAAATGTGCTCCCGCGCCGCTCTTGCTTCGCGTATGATCTGGCTCCAATTCTCAATATTTATAATTTAATTTAATTTTGTCAGTTTCGCACTCGTGTATTTTGCATGATTTAATTCGTAAACATATTTGTATTTGTGCTTCTCTGGAAACACCTCTATTCAGGTCCCTGAGAAACTGGGTTCAAGCTGACCCGAGTCCACCCATGAACAAATACCAAAATCTAACCGGAGGTCATCCAGACTCGGATACTACTTCTCTCCCTCTCTTTCACGCACTCATCCATATTTCTCTTTTTCTTGGTTTGGACTCGAAAGCCGAATAGACGATGTTACGATAGATCGCCAGTAGAAGCTGGCTGCTTTCGTAACCCAACCAACCATGGAAACAGCGTCGGTTTTCGTCTACTCAAAAGCAGTACCTTTTGGTTTTGCTCTCACCAACACCAACACCAACACCAACAGGTTTTCACTTAGACCTTTTAACAAACACCTAGAATTCCATTTGTCTTTCAAGAACTCTAGGAACCACAAAAACGTCAAAGCGGTTCAAACCCCACTCCGATGCTTTTCATCTTTTGCAACCCAAAATCTCCCAACCAAAGCCTTCAAAAACCCAGTTTTTTCACATCCATTGCCATCTTCAACGGCAACAAGAAGAACCCATTTGTTTCATCCACTCAAATGCTCATATTCCAACACTACTGTCTCGGTATCTCAGATTCCATTATTGGGTAACATCAAAAACCTCTCACTTGATTCATTGAAAACGACCCTTTCTCAGTTGACCCCAATTGGCATATGCAAGTGGTCTTTGATTTTCTCTATCTCAATTGCAGCCATCAAATGGACTGCGAATGTACTTTTTAACCCTTTCTTCTGGATGTATTTTAGCTGGACTTGGTTGTTCTGGCCATGGTTTGTCGCAGTGGGTCTTGCAATGTACGGATTTTATTGCCTGCGCAAACATTTGCGCGGAGAAGCTAAAGTAATTGAGCAACTTGCCATTGTTACTTCAGCATTCACTTGGCTAACTCTTGTCCCACCTGCCCATTTCAATGGCTTCTTAGAAGGCTGGCCTTTTGTGTTCTTCTTCGTGTACCATTATTTCTTCTTCTTCAATGTTAGTGTCCGGAAACGCCTTTATGGCGACTACAACCCTCGCCAGCATGACCCCAAGTGGGATATTAGTCCGCCCAATTGGTCTCGCCTTTTGTTTTGTGCTGGAGTATTGGTTGGGCACTGGCTTGCGGCATTTGAAGGACCAGAACTGCACCTCCTTCCAGGTGGGTGGAACAATTTGTGGGTTTGGATTGTGATAATGTTAACTTTGTTCATGCAGTATCACTCCACATTGTATCTTGCAAAGTATTCGGAGAAGGTGGTGGTACCGACTGAGGTTGTGCAGTTTGGGCCTTATCGATGGGTTCGCCATCCTATATATGCATCTACAATGCTTCTTTTTGTGACATACTGCGCTGCATTACGAGCACCTATCAGCTCGCTGTTTGTTATTGCGGTTTGCTTAATGTATTATGGGCAGAAGGCGAAATTAGAAGAGGCTTTGCTTGTCGAGACTTTTGGGGAGAGGTACACGGAGTACATGAACAAAGTTCGCTACAAGCTGATTCCTTTAGTTTATTAGTTTCCTTACAGGTACAATTTTCCTTCACTTTGTGCTTTGATTGATGTATGGCATACTGGTAATTGGTTACCAAAAAAAGAAGATGCTAGACATGTAGATCAGATGTCATCTTTTGGACATTCTCATGTTTGATGTATTCAGTGTCTCTTTAAAAAAAAAATTAGTGTTTTTGCACTAAATGCCTTAACTTGAATGTCTTCTGTTATTTCTTATGATCCTTTTATTTGACATTACAGTTTCAGCAATTCTAAGCAAATCTCTGATGCAGTGGTTTAAATGATTTCTGATAGCACATAACATTTGGCATGTTGTTTGACCCACTTGTGCTGCTGTCAGTTCTAACAGATTCTCACATTAGTTCTTGAAAACATACAAACATGCAACGTTTTGTGTTTGTTTGGTCCACTTGATTATGTTCTTTAGAATAAAATTTTTGCTGATAATTTTGTTGCTTATTCTTACAAAATACTGAAAGTAATTTGTCCAACCTTGTTATGGTTAGATCGTATTGGTTTTAGGATATTAGTAACAGTTTTTTAGCTTTATCACAGGGTTACAGTATTTGATATGTACTAATGTAGTATCTCTGTCTACCACTTTCCCCTAAGATGATTTTCACAACCACCACCATTGTGTTTGCCAATGAATGCCATGTGAGAAACACTGGTGGAGTTAGTTGAAGTGATACTGGAAAACATTGACGATGTTCTCTCAAGCCGTGGCACATTTCATTATTGTATTTCATGATTTTAGAACATGGAAACTATTCATGAACATTTGAAATTGTAGGGTTAATAAGAGTGACAAAGTTAAAACTTGGAAATTTTGGGTGAAATTAAATCCGTTCTATGATATTTTGGTAAGCACGAAAGTTTGTCGTTGGTTGGACATTGATGCAATGTTGACAAAGTATGTTTTTTCATTCACGCATTTTGGTGGAAACTTGGGAAGTTGGACATCTTCAGATGGGTTTGGAACACAATTTGGCCATTTACTATTATAAGGTGGCCTATTGCAATAACAGTGTGAATGTGCCTCTGACTTGCTCAAGATCTATCTAGTCTGTTTATTTGCCTTAACTTTAATTGAACTCGAGATCTATCTTCAGTTTAAGTGCATTTCATTTTAACTATATCACACAGTTGACCATAATTGAATTACTCAAAATCTTAGAGGCATGAGTACCTATACAGGGGATTAGTTTTTGTATTATTTCTGTCTTCGGATACTCTCGGATATGCATCCGATGCTTCCTAGTCATTTCCTAAATTTAAAAAAAAATGTGAACTTGTTTTTAAATCATATGTTCTTGAAATTTGAGTTGCAACACATCTAGTTTAGGAATTTTCTTTTTAAAAAACATTTATCAAGGCAAATAACACACCACCCATTTTGCTCATACGGGGAGTTGAACCCTCAACTTTCCAAAGTTGAGGAGATACCACTGAGGTACAACCTTGGTGGTAGTTTAGAATTGTTCTTTAAATTGAAGAAAGTTTACTAGGGTTTTAAAATATTGGAGCATTTCATTGATATGATGAGTGTAAACTGTCTCGACTCCCTTCCCATCTCCATGTGTAACTCTATACCATGATTTCACATAATACTTGGCATTTTAAGTGAAAACTAAGTAAATCTCATTTATTAATAAAATGGATCATTTATGTACTTCAAAGCCCATTATAGGCTTCATGGCAATAACAACCTCTTATTTACAAAGGACAATACTTAGATCCTCACTAATAAGGATCTACAACATACTGACTATTGATGTGGACCAATAATAAATGGACATGTCATCTTTAATTACCAAATTAAAGATGGTGGGTATATACTCACATTCCAAATCAAATATAGTGATTTGATTACCATTTATGATTTGGTAATTAAAATAGGATGTGTCCATTCAGTGTTGGTCCACATCAGTGGTTAGTATGTTGTAGATCCTTACTAGTGAGGACCTAAATATTGTTCATTTACAAAAGGAGAAACGAGAAGATAAATAAAGCAACATACAGCCCCAAATACAAATCTAAGTTTTGCTAAAAAGTTAATTGCTAAATGGTAAAACATGAGTACCTCTATCCATTCTACATCATATTCTGCACTGATCGTACTGCCTAGACTTAAAATCGTAAAATAAAGAAAAGTTATTGGTTGTTGGCTCATTACGGTTGTTGCATGATTTATTTATTTTTTATTTATTTATTTATTTTTGTCCATAAAAGTTACAATCCAAATGATTTTTTATCTCCAATTCTGGTTGATTTTATTTGTTTGCATTTCTGTTCCCCTTTCCAATGACATATTTGAATAAGATTCAACTAGTATAGCACATTAAGAAGATGAAAAATGGTGAACAATGAATGGCCATTAGATTTCAAAAGCATTACTCATGACTCTTCTTTCGCTGCCTTGGAGTGATTTGCATGTCCAAGGACTTGTGCTTTCATCTAAAAGTTAGTGGTATACAAATACTGTGTTAGCCATAGTACTAATGCTATAGCATAAAACTTGATCTAAACCTAGAGGATCTATTCCGAAATCCTGATAGCATGCTAGGTAAAATATTTCTTTTGAGGTTCTGAGCCCAACATTAAGTTTTTTCTTTTCAATTTTTAAGTTACTAAGAGGTTTACTTCATGTGTTACTTGTGAAATCCTTTAAATAGCAAAAAAGAGGATATGATATTAGTGAAACATTTTGATGCAATTTATAGGTCTTTTTTTTCCCCGAATAATATATAGGTCTTTGAATGGTTATTATTAGATGTATTGTATTCCAGACTATGAATACCTTTAATATGGTTGGTTTTAGGGTCATGGTAGCCAATAAACAATAATTAACAACTATGTCCGAGTGCAGAAGGGTTGTTAGACTCAACTAACAGCAAGCTTTCTAGTCTGTCATTTTTGTGCTGTAACAATTGCTAAAAAAAAAAAAAAAATTATGGGAAGTATAAGATTACGATAAAACATAAAATTCCCTATTTTTACAACCAAGTTTCTTCTTTTTGGTAGATGCTTATAGAATTGAGTGGTGCTTATTGATATGACAAAATATAGGGTACTCAAGTGTAGGATTTTAAATGTAGGGTAGTCAAGTCAAAGAATATCCGTAAAATGAGTTGCACAAGAAGTAAGAATGTTGAGATGGAGATGGTCGAATCAAATCCAGAATTTAGAGGTTGCGCCAATAAGTACGAATATATATAAAATTCATTGACATGGGGTGCCATGTGCAACAGACAATGGATTGAATTTTAAGAGGACGTCTCAATGGAAGGGAGTTAAGGAAAAAGGAGATGCCCAGAACGGTTTTTGTAATGTGATAGCTTATGATTGAACGGATAATACGGCACTATCTCTCATTTTGGTAAACCAAACTTTAAATAAATCTAAGGGCAAAATGAGTTGTGTTATAAAACTGAATTGCCCTTTGGGTCTATTTAGATCCTTTCCCATACATTTCTTATTTTTCACAATGCTTCCAAAAGTTGGCAGGGCCTCTGGGAAGAGCGAATAGATGAAATATATGTGCCTAATCACATTCAGATTTGAATCTGTAGGTTGTTTATCCTTTTCCTGTAAGATCATTTTAAATTGAATTGCTATTGAAGTGTGATTTATGTACTTGCTTTCATTTTTTAGAAGATTTTGTTTTGTATTGTTGAATGGTAAGGAAAGACAATTATGATCTTTCCTTTGGCTGAGCAATTTGGGACTAAGGCTCACTCTTAGTTACAGGGCTTTGCTTATTGCCACCCTTTCTGGGCTTTTCCTCGTATTTTTCATTTTCTTCTTTTGCGTGGTCATCCTTCCCATTTCAATTCTTGATTGCCAAAAAAAAAAAAGAAAAATATTTGCTTACATGAAATTCCTTTTTGGGTGTTTCTGTTGATTTGGGCATAATATAAATGTAATTATTGGTCCATTAATGCGGGAATGGGAGGAATGTCTGTGAAACTATTTGCACGAATCAACTCTCCCAAGCATGCATTCTCAGGCATGGCAAACCAAACTTTTGTTAATGCATTCAGCAATGATCAATCTTTTATTACTGCAATGAACAATGATCCCAAATATATCAAGGAGCAGGAGGAGATACTTTTTGGACTATGTCTTTAGTGGTGTGTGTATATATGTAGGAAAAACACACACACACATACACACAAAATCTACTTACATGTTTAGTTTCTCCACCACATTGTAGAAAGCATTTTGACCTACAGGTAGATGTCAGTATATACTTTCTGCGTTCTTGGGAAGGATAAGTTTAATTTAAATTTTATGTTTGGAATTAAAGGTTTGAGAGATGATAGTCAGTTCTGAAGGGGTTATCTGGGCCATCGACCTGGGTTCATGTTCAGATCCAGTAATATGGTTATTATTAGTGCTTAATTAGAGAGCTTGTTTTGGTCATATAAGGTTTTGTGTGGAACATTTTCAAGCACTTTGTGAGGGCTAATTTAATTTAAATGTTGAAGAACAAAATGATGATCCCAGATGACCAAGTGATTCCTATGAAAAGGTTACCAATAAGGATGAAGAATGGAAGCCAAATATCACTGAGAGTTGGTATTTGTTTGCCTCATGAAAATAAGCTATTTGACTATACTTGATCTGTAGTGAAGGATGACTTAATTTGCCATAAAAACAAGAAAAACGACTTGGAGGTATGGGAGGTTGGCTGAGAATGGGATAGCCCAATGCACGAGACTCTCGTCATTGCGTGTGCGGAGCAGGGTCCTTTACCTTCGCACGAAGAGATTGTTTTCTATTTCGAACCCGTTATCTTCCCAGTAGAGCAACTTCACCTATGAGAATGAGGGATTCACATGTAGTCATTTTTGTCAAGTGTTTCTTCTAAGTTTCATGCATTTGTTGTGTCTGAAAGCAGATTGTTGGCAGAAGAATAAATCTTCTGCCAATACCCAACAAAAAATAAGTGTATTATTTATATAATTTAATATTAATATGCCACTTTATTCATGTCCTAGTCATTATTATAACTATGTCACCAACCATACATAGAATCATTGATTATCTTACGGTGCTCGATTGATTACCTCACATTACGCCAAACAAAATGGTTAACTATAGGAAATCTAATCACTGCCGAAAGAGGGTCACTTTGTGATGTGCGTGTCCTGACTTTACACGTACAATACACGTTGAGAATCCCAAA